TATCCAATCCACGTACTAACCATTTAACCATTTAGCAACTTAATCTTGCAGCCTTTGTTGACATTATCCAATTCACGTTCTATTCATCTAATTCTAACCATTTAACAACTTCACCTTTCAACCATTTAACCACATACACTCATATACACTGAAAATTTTGACCATATAATCACTTAACCATTCTAATATTTAATTCCGCTCATCTATTTTATATAATAATCGTGCATCGCATATTCAATTTTAATTTGCCTCTTGTATCCAAAATAGCAATTCTACGTTGAATCGCTAGCCTTGCTAGCCTAGCCTAACTACAATTCTGCGTTGATTCGCTGGCCTTGAAACTGCAATTCTACGTTGATTTACTGGCCTTGAAACTGCAATTCGCACATTTGAATTCCTGCCCCCGAATTCTGCTGTCAATTAAATGACGTGGCAGCGCATACGCGGTCAGAGGAAGGGGTGAGATGGCGGGGGAATATGAGGGGGTGGGATGGCGGGGGAATATAACTTCTTATCCTAACATTTTATCCTCTTTTGCATATAATAAATCCCCATATGATATACCGACGCCAGTTTACCAAGAAAATGCACTTCACCGCTCATATCTCATGCTCCCCATTCCCCAGCCTCTTCCCCAAGCAGGCTATTGAGCCTCGGTCCCCCGGGGGGTTCAATATTTTCGAGGCTTCTTCATAAATTGCGGCGGTGGGAACACCACCCCCGCCATCTTACTCCCCGCCGCTGCTATCGTGTAAAAAAATAATAGATTTATATCCGTCATTTCCAGGCGATAATTCAATAGTTATTGTAAATAACCCGCTGGTTTCTTTGAGCTTATCTTGTTATTTAATTCGCATCAGAAATTTTTTTTATTTGAGTTCTGAAACTGAACATTTAGGAAGGTACAAAGCTACCAATTTGAACGTCGCTGCTTACAAACTACATCTCGTGGTACGGGCGTGTAGCAGAGGTCGGTAAATGCTGTAAGGATCTAGTTGTATAGTATGCAGGTACTGTAGTAACATTTACCACATTATTATGAGGTTAATCGCCCGGTACTGATATGTAAAAGATTCCTCACCATTCAAAAGTTAATTCGAGCTATAAATGAATCTTTACTAGATAGTCAATTATCTTCTTATTCTTATTCAGTGTGAAGGCGTACGAGAACAGACTAGATAAAGCTGTGGAGAAATATATGTTCAGATTTGAAATGCCCAGCACCTTATCGAACCCGGTGGAAATCTAGTAGCTACTTCAAACTATCGCCAGTCATGAAAAGATCCGGGCAAATAACACGATATTAGATCTTCAGTGAACAAGGCACGAAAAGGAAAAGAATCGGCGACAGGCCACATCAGGCCTACATGTACTGCAGCATTCATCATGATGTGGTGCACTGCAGCATTCATCATGACGTGATGTACTGCAGCATTCATCATGATGTGGTGCACTGCAGCATTCATCATGACGTGGTGCACTGCAGCATTCATCATGAAAGGTTCTTGCATTTTCTGTTAATTCAATTGCAATTGGGAGAAAATTTATTTAAGTCAGACCTAAACTCCGTTTTCTTTAGTGCCTCGATATCATTAAGTAGCTCATAACTCTACGGACATCGAACTTGAGATTCAACTTCCCCCAACATGAAAGTTTGCCGAGATTGCTGATGAGATTTGGTTTACTCTTATCTTATTTTTCAGTCACTAAAGGATGTCACGAATAATACGAGCATAATTATTTGACCAATTTTATAATTATATTAAAATTAATATTATTGTTCTTATTTGTTTGTAGTTAATAAATAATAATTTATAATCTGTGCCTGATTTCCCAGCAGCCTAACAAACATGTACGATTAATTTTAAACTGTCTGCCACATTTTGATGTTATTTTTTATTATTTCATTGGACCGCGCTGGACAATTCAAGAATTTTTCTATCTCGCTTTTAGCGCCAGTTTCCCACGCGCCAAATTCGCATGTAAACTCAATTACGGCCGTCAATGCCGGCAATCAGACGCGCACGCCGGCCTCGTCCTGCTGGTCACACAAAATATTTCGCGTACTGGACAGCAAGCGCAGTTTAAGAATATTTTTTATCTCGGGAATATAGAAAAACTCGAAAAAATATTTTTTTGGTGCCATGCAATTTTATTGCAAGAATATTTAAGAATATTTTTTATCTCGGGAATATAGAAAAACTCGAAAAAATATTTTTTTGGTGCCATGCAATTTTATTACTAATTTCAAACGTGTTCATCGTTAGCGGACGACGGCACGGTACAGGAAGGCATCGATAGTAACGGACTTAATTAATATGAAGACAAGAAATTATTTGGATTGAAACTGAATTTATAATGGTGCGTCATATTGTGTAATGAATATAGCAATATAAAGCAGGGTTGGTGCTTGTTCTGATTTTTTAACTAAAAAATAAAAAATAAATTATTTATTTTTTTCATGATTTTTTCAATATACGGCACTAGAGTAGCGTGAGACGATCTGGCAGCCTCCGGCCCACACCGCGGCAGTTGCCCCGCCGCCTCCGCGGGGGGAGGACGTGTGCCTGTCCGCAGCGCCGGCCTCATCGGAGGCTCGGAACTCAGTTTTGTGAGGCTGGGTCTTGTGAGGAGAGCGTTCTATGAGGAGTTTACTTTGTGAGGGGAGCGTTCTATGAGGAGCGAATTTCATGAGGGAAGTGCGTTATTAGGATAATGTTCTGTGGAGGAAAAGTTTGTGAGGGAAGGGCCATTTAAGAGAAGTTACTTTTGAGTGAAGAGGTCTATAAATGAAGACAGCTTAGTGAGGAAGAGCTTTGTGAGTGAATCTCCTTGCAAATGAAGCGTGTCGTGAGGAGAGAGTGTTGTGGGGAGGGTAGTGAGGAGGTGGAAGTGTAGAGCTTCCTCCTAAACATAATCAACTTAAATCTCTGTTGCTCGTCCCATATCTAAAAGCTGATAATAATGGGGAGATAAGGAGCCACTTTACTGAGCTTGTATACTCGTGTTATATCTACGCTATATAAGACGCGTACCCAATACAGGGCGTATAAACTATACATCGTTTGTTTGTAGCGAGGTAGAAACTTGTACAAACAAGAACGTGCCGGTACAATGGGGGCAAAAAAAAAGCATTTTACTGTGCTACCTGCACTTCGAATAAAATCCGAACCAATTTCTTCATCCTGTTATATTCATTTTTTTTATTATTCTGTTTTCTATCAATATTATTCTCAATATTCCTGTTGTAGTAATTATAATAATACTGGTACATGGCCCCATGAAGAGTTTCATCTCAATATTTCTCACACATGTTCAAAGCTTCTGAGCTGCAAAGATGCTTCAATAAAATCCTTTTGGACTAATGGCAAGATTCTCTAGTGCAATGCAAAAACATAACCTTACTTTAACCATTAAGTCAATTAACAATTTAACTTTCAACCGTTAAGGACATTAACCAATCCACTTACTAACCATCTAACCATTTAGTAACTTCACCTTTCAACTATGTAACCACTGAAATTTTTGACCATATAATTGTCTAACCATTCTAATATTTAACTCCGCTCAATTATTGTATAAAAATCGTGCATCGCATACTAGATTATAATTTGCAATTCTGCGTTGACTCGCTGGCCCCGAAACTGCAGTTCGAACATTTGAAATCCTGCCCCCGAATTCTGCTGTCAATTAAATGACGTGGCAGCGCATACGCGGTCAGAGGAACAGACCGACGATGTTCTCTGCTGACGCTGTGACGCTGTTCTCTGCTGACGATGTTCTCTGCTGACGATGTTCTCTGCTGACGCTGTTCTCTGCTGACGCTGTTCTCTGCTGACGCTGTTCTCTGCTGA